TTTTTTTTTTTTTTTTTTTTTTGCTAGTTTCTTTTTGCTTAAACGATAACAGTAACCTCGGCGTTAAAGCTTTACCATGCAGTCACTTGTACTATTGAACTGCAGTTCTACTTGAACCACATACAGTTTAAAGTGTTACCATTGTATGTTTCTATCAGTGGATTCCACACGCACTGGAGATAACGGGATGTTTATGTATTACGTATATATATAGTGCACATGTACAGCATCACTGTATTGCGTAATATGCAGCGATTGTGTTAGGTGTCCACGTGGCTCAAGTGTAGAGCAAAATCATTGTGTTAGTTGTGATTTTAGGTCGGATTCTCCCTGTACATCAGCGACATTGGGAGCATCAGCCTGATCGGTATAGCAGGGGCGGCAGCAGCTGATGGAATAGCCGTGATATGTTATGAGTTCACGGTAAATGATAAAAATCAGATTGGCAACTGAATTTTTTTTATGTTTTTATTTTACCACGCAACTGATTAGGAAACATTTTAAAGAATGTCATTGTTTGCTTTTATCAAGTCTACAACATGATATTTTTATGATTCAAGTGTTAAACTTTTCAATTTCTAAACTAAGCTGAATTTAAAAAAGATGAATTTCTATCAGAACATTATATTTATTTGAAGTTTTTTACCTCCCTGTATAAGAACCTGCGAGAGCTTGATTTATGTGTTCTCCACATGTTGCAATAATTATAAGCTTAAGTTAATATTGAACGCTCCTTTTTATTGCAGGGTATTTTCTGTGTTCTTCTTCTTGGATTTGTGTTTGCTCCTGTTTATATATCAGCGTCGGTAGGTGTGTGTTTTAAGGGGTATCAGGCATAAAACCCCAGTAGGTCGTTTCTACTCGTATTTACTCGTAAGCTCATCGGATAAGGATGTGAATCGTCAAATTCAAAAACGCAACAGTAAAATTAAGAAAGTGATAATAGGGACAGTAAACGACCGAAAATATAACTTTTATATAGCTCATTAGCATCTTAAAGCATGCTTAATCTTTAAGTATAATAAAAATTAACCTAACATTAATGTCATTTTATTTCGTGTAAGGCTTAACTCTTAATATACAAGTCTGCATTTAAAAAAATAATTAAATTTTAAAAATAATTGATATTGCGTGAATATTAAAAATTGAACTCATTAACTAGGTATATACAATGCCAGAGTACTTGCGGAAGCGGTTTGGCAGCCGTCGTCTCCAGATCTACCTGGCTGTCCAGAACCTCCTGTTACTGGTATTCACCAAGTTGTCTGCCGGGGTGTTCGTGGGGGTGTTAATAGTGCAGCAGGTGCTCGGGTGGGACGTTTACCTGTCCTTACTAGTACTGCTTACTGGAACTGCACTGTACACACTGTTAGGTACATTGTCAACTGTCAACAGTCAGTTATTATTGGGCGCTGTGTTTTATAAGTTTATTTTATATATCAACATTGTATACAACTTAAAATATTTAGTTCATATTGTTAAGTCGACCTTTACATAAACCTACATGGTGATATGTGTACCCAGTATGTCGATAACTATGTAATTACAATTATAATCGATGTGATTATTCAACCGTTTTATATCTATATATTATTTGCTTATCTTTCTTCGTATTAATTCATTCATTTATTTTTATACGCATAGATTAATACTTAAAAGCAAGGGCATCTTTTTTCCTTTCAGGAGGACTAACAGCTATTATATATACAGATGCTCTTCAAACAGTAATCCTATTGGTGGGCTCCACAGTTTTGGCCGTTATAGGTATAGTGTACATACATTGACTGTCACGTTCTTCCTCCTTGTGCATGGATCAGTTTTCACTCACACATATAATCCTATCAGTCGCACTACACTGTCCGAGTCATAAAAAGTTAGTTACTTTTGTCAAACATAATAAGAAAAGTACACACACACAAACACAAAGAGAGAGATTGAGAGAGGTAGGTTATTTTTGGTAAATATTTGGCATTTTACAGATGATTTTGAAGTTTCAATGTGTGGGGAGGGGGTACGTCTTTTGAAACAAAATTACGCACCTATCCAGGATCCGCCTATGTTAATATATCGCGTTATTTCCAGCTCTGGTAAGAATTGATGGGTACGACGGTCTGCAGTCGCAGTATTTCCTGTCTTTACCAAATGGAGAGTTACATGGAAACGGGACATGTGGGCTACCGGACCCCCAGGCCTTCCACATCATCCGGGACATTTCGGACACACACTACCCGTGGACAGGGTCAGTATTCGGGGCTAGTGTCCTCTCAGCCTGGTACTTCTGTACTAACCAGGTCAGTATAACAATTACCTTGGATATAGCAGAATTATAACGGGGTTTCGCCAATTGCGTCCTCAAATTACATGTATTCTCTACGAGAACCACAGATTGATTTTTTTACTAGATGTTAGCAGATATATCTGAGGCAAATTCTTGTGCACTTTTATGCATTTGTGCACATAATCGATGTCATCATATCAAAATCTTGTTGAAAGTTGTCAGAAAAAGGCAACAAAAATTGACTATGAGGATCTTAAACGTACGTTGAGGGCACTAATCCGTCAAACGACTAGTCAATAAACTAAATAAACTTAACTTCAACATGCATGTTTATAGTATAAACGAATACAAGGATATACAGTACGCTGAGCCATGTTTATCATTATGAAACCGACATCATAACTTAAGCACACAAATTATGAAGTAAAAGAATCCTGTACACTTAATCCTCCCGAAAGAAAGCATCACATTTTTTCCTGTTTATATTTCTATCAGGTTCTGGTACAGAGGACGCTAGCGGCAAGGAACACCCTCCACGCTAAAGCTGGTTGTATACTGGAGGCGTATCTGAAGGTTCTGCCATTGTTCCTCATTGTGCTGCCCGGGATGGCCAGTAGAGCTTTATTCTCGGGTACTGCCATTTTTAAGATGTAATGAATATACTGTGACTTAATGTATTTTAAACATCTTTTACTTGGTTTTTAAGATATTGATTTTTACACCGATGACCCATTTGTATAGGTATTTTAAATCAAACTCATTTACTGATATGACACAAATGGTACCTCTGGAGACAAAGAGCAGCTCGTCTGCCAATAACTCAACTATGCCACAACATTGGTATTACTTATCAAAAAAGTACACAATTTTAAAATATTTATTAAATCGCGTCAGTCTTTTGGGAGTATTAATTAACAGAGCAGCATTAGGCGTTCTATATTTTTACAATTTAAATGGCGGCCAAAATTAATGTTAGGCCTACATAAGTATGCATTATTTGCAAATACGCGTGACGATAAACGTGTGTAAACTGTTAATCTTGACATAATTGTCTATATACATGTATTTTAGACACAGTGGCATGCTCAAGCCCCGAGTCTTGTTCAAGTGTCTGCGGGAATTCTAAAGGATGCTCCAATATTGCATATCCAACGCTGATACTGCATCTTATGCCCGTGGGTTAGTTCAAGTTATATTATTGGCCTAATTCAATAATTACATTTAAATATCTGCACTGATAATTTGTCAAGGAATATAGGGGCATAATGAAAACACATCATCAACAGTATCCCAGTAACAAAAAAACCTATTCCAAACATTTACTGAAACGACGAAAGACAGCTAAAAGGAACTAAGTCACCTATTTGAGGAATATGAATTAAATTGTAGTTAGCTGACAAACTAATATTATTTTGATTCGTCGCATTCTGGAGAGAAAACATTACCACAATTTCAGGGTTAAAAGGTTTGATGTTAGCCGCCATACTCACGGCATTGATGAGTTCCTTGTCGTCCATATTCAACAGCGGCAGCACAGTATTTACTATAGACATATGGAAGAAGATAAGGAAAAGAGCATCTGAATGGGAAATTATGATTGTTGGGAGGTAAGCAAGTTTTTTTTAATTCAGTTGTATTATCTCTCAAACATTAACAATCATTAACAAAGAGCGCGGTCAAACGAAACTTGTTATAAATGTGAGGCAAAATCTAACGGGTTTAGGTCCTTAAATCTAATTTTCTATAATAAATTCATGCATATATGTTGGCGTGTTTTTCGCTGAAGATTGTGCCCAATAAATAACCAATTATCCATCATTGTGTTAAAATGTCAATATAAAATTCAACAGAAATAGATGATTGGAAGGTTCATCATGCCGTATGTAGTGACCAAGGGGAGTATTATTTATTGTTCGCTGACGTCATTCATAATTCAGTATGCAAACTGTAGCAATCATCAATATTTAACATCTTTCAGATTGTTCATCATTGTATTTGGCGGATTCAGCATTGCTTGGTTGCCGATAGTTGGCGGGGCAAGAGAAGGACAGCTGTTAAACTACCTTCAGTCTGTCAACTCTTACCTTGCCCCGCCAGTGCTGGCCTGCTTTGTTATGGCGATAGCCTGGAGCAGGGTGAACGAACCGGTAAATTCCTCACTGTTTAATGCTGTTTCAGGAGAGAAAGGCGGTTGTTTTAAAGCATGTACTAGTAGCCGTGATAATCCTTCTTCACAGTTGCTTCTTTATACGTATTGTGATTTATCACTGCGTTGATAAAACTGCTTAATAAAATTTGATTTTATTATTAAGGTACGTGCGATACTTCACTTTTTAAAAAAAAAACAAGTCACCGGAGAACGTTTTGCAATATAATATGCAAATCCTTTTTCCTTCGTCTTCTTTAATATTGTATATCATGAAAAATTGATTTTATTTCCTATGGCTGGCCATTTTTTATTCTTTTCAGGGCGCTTTTTGGGGACTACTGGTTGGGCTCATATTGGGAGTCGCCAGAATGATAGCAGACTTTGCGCTCCCAGCACCACCTTGCGGAATCCCAGATAACCGACCAGGAATTCTAAAAAAATTTCATTTCCTGAACTATGCATGTGTATTATTTGTTCTGTGTATAATTGTCACTGTTGTGGTTAGCATCCTCACAAAACCTCAGGAGAAAAAAGATGTAAGTTGAACTATATATTCATGTATTTTCAAGGTTTTATGAAATTGAAAAACGTTTAACCCTACGCTTTTACATATAGTAACTCATTTAATACTGTTTATAAAAGAAACGGAAGCTTTTTTTTCATAGAAATTGCTCATGTTGCATATCATTGCGTTTCCATGTAGTATTATCCACGTCACGCATGCAAAATACACGCCGTAAACTGATTCCTTATTTATGTCACAATGGCGCAAGTTTGTATGTGGTTCAAACTTAAAAACTGACCTCAAAAATAAAGTTTTTAAAAATTTTATTTATTCATTGTAGCTGGTAAGACTAACTTGGTCCACCAAGAGTGATTTACACCTAGATGAAGATACACGAACAGAACCTAAAAATATGGTATTTTCCGTATCAAAAGAAATAGGAGCACTGGAGATATCGGAGGATATCCCGGAAGATATATCTGAAATATCTGGACAGAGCTCATCTACAAAAGCCACGCGTGGGTGTAGCAAACATGAACTAGATATAAAGTGCATTTTTGAACAGAATTAGCTTTTTTCAAAATTTTGAAAGATATAAGGTCATTATATAACCGTATTTTAAAAAAGATTGACTTCAAATGTTCCAGCAATTGAAACATAAATACTTATACCATGGGCAATTTTCAGAATTTTAAACCCCTCCGTTGCTGAGGATCGTACATGTACCTGTAACTGATAACAAAACCGATCTACTATTTTTTTCCCATCATTTTCAGTAGAATTACCTGCTTGGAAGAAGGTCCTATACTGGATATGTGGCTACAATGCTTTACACAACGACAGCGAAAATGCTGAGGAACACAAAGCTATAGAAAGAAGAATGGCGCTTTTGGCCATGGAGGAAAACCCCAAATGGCGGAGAGTTGTCAATGTCAATCTCGTCATTTGTCTGAGCGTTGGGGCATTTTTATGGGGTTTCTTCAGGTAACTGAGATCCAGACGAGAGTATCAAATCAGGACCACATTGAGGCATTCGCTGAAATGAGACGTTTTGCTGATCTTTTCGAAT